TCATGTTCGCAGCTACCATTGTACGGCCGTAGGCGCTATTTGAAATTTATCAAAATTTACCGGGAGCACCGGTAAATTTTTATATTCAATTTTTCTCGAAAGCAGAAGTAGTTTAGGGGCTAAATTTTCTAGTGCTTATAATACATCCACATGGGCATCCATATATATCAAAATTGTAAAGAATCACTATCCACCCAATTTTCAAAATTTCCCAAAACTTTGTATTACCTTTAATGTACAGCAAACGTAGACACATGCTACCCTATGACTCTGTTGATAAAGCCCCTCTGTACTAGTTTGGCCAGGAGGGATAAGACCTTCCATCATGGTCACCGACAGGTGGTTATCTCATCAAATCTGCTCACAATTAAAATAAGAAAAAGGGGGTCATGGGGGACCAATAGTCACCGATTAGGCATTGTATGCTTTATAGAGGGCGCAAGTAGCTATGAGTAGTGCAGTGGGGTTTTTTAATATTAATCATAATTTGTTTTTTCGTATTGATATTACTTAGGTTGGTACTACTATACAGAGTCTAGCCAAAGACGGAAGAACGGGGAAAGAGCAAGACTGGCTACCTTTGCTATCGCGGCTACAACGACGGGCAGCTGTGTGGTATGCTCTCATCCAAGATAGATTATAATGGATGGCAATCAATGCCATGAATTTCGAACAACAAATAGTTTATCACCTGACGAAGTGGTGCAGCGGCGCACGAAACATCGTGATCTTTTAGATCCCTTGTTGACCATACATTGCGAGATAAACGAATATCACTATCGATATTATTGTCGACACAAATATTTTATTTCATTATTGTGCCATAGATAGGGATGCCGAACGGATGTCGAAATGATCATTACACGGTGTTTCTATTCCAAAGCTTCATGATACGAATCCCATACGAGTATGTATACTATTTAATGGAGTTGGAAATACATTGTCCCGGGAAAAAAGTAATATCGAAGGACACCATTACCACTTCACAGTGGTTTCTTGTTCATCTGAAGGGAGTATTTAAATATGAACCAATTTGAACAAAATTAATCAGTGTAAATTTTATTGAAAACTAATGTATAGAGGTGTTGGTGTATATTGATTAGTGTCGATGTAGGCTGAAACAATTATAATATAGTCGGTGCAAATTATAACATCTATCTGTTTTTATTATCGTGTTCTTTTTTCCGTTATATTTTTTCCCGGACTCAAGTAGAATCAGATTTGTTTTCTTCTAGATATTCCTTCTTTCATCAATACTGAATCAGTTTCTGGACCTTCTTTCTTAAAATAGAAACTTTACAAAGCGAATGAGACGCTTATTTGTAGATCATCCTTTCTGAAACAAACACTTTACAAAGGGAACTTAAAAACATCTTCTTGCAACTGAACGTTACAAAGAGAATCAGGAACAACTTCACTTATTTTCAAGTAACTAACATTTTTAAAAGAAAATCTAAAAAAAAATATTTTTAAAGCCCGTCTGTACTAGTTCGGCCAGGGGGATTAGACCACCCTGTAAGGTCACTGACTGGTGGTTATCTCATCAAATCAACTCTCAATTAACATAAGAAAAAGGGACCATAGGGGAACCAACATACACCGATTAGGGCGCAAGTATAGCTATAAGTAGTTAAGTGGGGGTTACATTTCTCCTAAAAGTAAATTTTTACCACTTTTTAATGCTTCTGTTGATCTCCCTTTACTTTATTTTATAGATCCGATTTTTCTACCACATGGAAGGCCAGGGTATCGGCACACTCAATGTGTATACCAGACAAGCAGTCAACGGTCCTCTGGAGAAGCTCTGGAGCAAAGACAAATCACTCGGAGAACAGTGGAATTACGCCAATCTACAGCTCAAAGTCTCTAATGATTTCCAAGTAAGCTCAACAGTTACTGACAGTACCCGGTTTTATTGTATTTTGCCCGACATTGCAACAATATTTTTGCTGAGATTCTGGTGGCTAAGAAATATCCGAGTATAATAAAGACCGGGCATTGCTATATATTACGTTGGGGGGGGGGGGGGTACCGCTTTTCAAAGTTTATCTCAGAAAAGCTGTAATTCTTCTTGCCAAATAAGAAATATTTAGATGTTTGCCGGGAATCAAAACAAATGGAGAATTTCTCTTTTCTATTCTTTTGTCGTGTTTGTTTATTGGTTTATTATGCTTCTTTTCCTTAATTGAATTTTCGCAAACAGTCGACAAAGCCCCTGCGTAGAACATCATTTATTGGCTTATTGCAACCACGTGAATCTGAAACGACATCATGAAAGCATGCATTGTAGACTATAAATTAAAAGCAAAGACAACAACTATAAATTTACTGCAGGATGAAAAAAAGCATGTCTTGTTATTTCCTTTTCTACCTTAATCTATCCTCCATATTTCACGTCCTTTACTTTTGAAGAATCGTTATGTCTCGAATCATCTAATCATACAGTAAGGTATGCCTAGCTACTCACATGAACTTGTAATCACCCTTTTCTCTTTCCCTCTCTAGGTAATATTTGAAGTAGTTGTCGGCTTTACAGCTGAGAGTGATATAGGTTTGGACGATGTCAGCTTTACACCAGATTGTCTTCGTTCAGGCGCTGGTCTACCGGTCAGCCCGACTGAAGAAATCACGACACCAAAGCGTAAGAGTTAACTATCCCCACATCTCTCTCTCTCTCTCTTTTTCTTTCTTTCTTTCTACCCCTCTCTATCTCTCTCTCTCTCTCTCTCTCTCTCTCTCTGTATCTCTCTCTCTCTGTCTCTCTCTATGTCTCTCTCTGTCTCTCTCTATCCTCCCTCCCTCCCCCTCTCTCTATTCCCTCCTACTCATCTCTCCCTCTTTCTCTCTCTCTCCCCCTCTCTCTCTCTCTCTCTATCATCCCCTCCCTCCTTTACTCATCTCCCCCTCTCTCTTTCTTTCTCTCTCTCCCTCTGTCTGTGTCTTTCTTTTCTCCTTACGTCTGTCTACGTTTTTACTTTGGTGACCAAGGGCCTATTTCATAAAACTTATTAACAATACAAAATTATTAAATTCTATGACAGATTTGCTCTCACCCAATCAAATGCCACGATTTTAGTAGCTTATAACGCTTATTGCAACTTGTTATTGGCAATAAATTTTATGAAACAAGGCCCAGATATTTGCACTGGCTACAATCGCTTCAGGATTCATTCGTCAAAGATTTAGGGATGGAATTATAGTTGCATTTAGGGTTTAAGTTAGGTTCAGTAGAGTCATGGATAAGGAGCTTGTTGCGTTGGGGCTGAAATTTGGAATTAAATTATTGTAAACAATTAACTACGGAGCCATTATAGTAGATAGCATTTGACATAAAAATCTTACGAAGAGTGTACAGTATTTTTTGTTTTTACTAAACTATTTCTCACCTATCTTTGACAGGTAATCTGCCCACTCTGCCTTCTTGTCTACAGGGGAAGTTTACATGTACAGCAGATGGTTCGTGTATTGATCAAAGCTGGTTGTGTGATGGAAGAAATGACTGTCCAGATTCGCAAGACGAGGCATCTTGTCGTAAGTATTATGCATATAATTATGAACATACCACGAAAAGACTATAAGAACACTTTACGGACATACCGCTAACAAACTAAAGAACAGACAACGAACTGGTCATGAACAGCTAGACCATGAACAGAGCACGAACAGACCACGAATAGACTGCGAACACTTCACAGTTGTCTTAAGACGATTTCTTCTCTTCTTTTTTTCATTTTGCTGCGACTCACGGCGATTAGGCATATGCCTATCGTCTATCACATCTTCTTGCCTCTGCTTGCCTCTTGGAAACTGAACTTCAGTCAGAACCACGATAATTCGGTATTCGTGGAGATAATCGCGTTAGGTACCTTCTTATTCTTCTCTTTGATGTGACATTGTCAGTGACAAAGCGATGTACTGCAAAAAAGTACATATTATTTGCGACATCCGAAACTACGCGCCATTGAAAATTAAAAGAATCTTCTCAGCCTGCCAATGTTTAAACAAATTTAATAGACCTACATTGACTGTAAAAGAGATAAAAATGGAAACGAGTGTTGGTCAAAGCTCGGAGTAGGGGGGGGGGGGTGTCATTGTGTAGTCCCCCATCCGGACTTTTCCTTTGCTTCAATGATTGATGGTTCTGTATCTCGACCAATTTCTTTTTAAATTACTAAAAGAGTATATATTATAAACCACCGAATTTAAATTCATAAAAATAGTACAAACAATCAACTTGTCTGCATGTATATTGCTTAGTTGATTTTGTTACCAAAATGATGCCACTTTGTTTTTAATATATATTATATGTGAATGAAATTTAACCAATTCTTTTCATTTTGTTTCCCCATTGCAGCTACATCGGGTAGTAAGTATATTTACATTTTTTCACCTCAAAATGGCACCGAGAACGTAAAATTGTCAAAGCCTTTCTGAAGCATTTGTAATTGTATCTCCTATCTAACGTAAAACTATATGATCTATATAAAACATTAACAAATGATAATTCAGACGTGCGAGATTTTACTCTTTTATATGTATATGAATAATTCAGTTTCTTTATATTCATGATAATATCGATGTACAATATTAAATATTTTCTACTTTCACCAACAATGACGTCATGAGGTTTATACAATTTATCATATATTCGTTTACTACCCTCTTTGACGTTTAGTTTATTTTCACTCATAAATGATCTGATTAATCTTGTGTTGTATCAAGTGGGAACTAACGTGTATATATAAGGTGGGTTTGGGGTGGGGCTCTTGAGAAATTTGAAATTATCTATTTCATTCCGATGACGACGTCGCATTAAATTTTCACAAAAATACTGCGGATTGTTTTGCTTTCTCGTTCGCAAACGTTAGAAACTTGAAAGTTGATGTTTGGGCGCGAGAAGTCAGCCCCCATGGCGAAATTGTGCCCCTAACGTTTATGATTGTATCACTTCAATCCAACTAATTACATTCCATTTTATACTGCAGATTCAGCGATGGTTATTGGTCTCAGCGTAACGTTCGGTCTTCTGTTCCTAGCTGCCGCGGCTGGCGGTATATTCTATTACGTCAGGATTTACTCAAAGAAAAATCAGTAAGTCACTCTAGAAATCTGCAGTTTAATTAACAATTCATTACAATGTTATGTGAAAGAAAACAGGATGTTTTTTCACACGAAATGTTTACTGGCACACATATTCTTTAAATTCCATCTCCAATTGTCCAGTTAAGCAATTAATTGTCAATTAAAAATGGTCTCTCATTTTGTTTATATTTCGAGGTACTGAATAACATTTGGTAAATGATGTCTTCTTTTTCTTTCGATGTGTTCCCCCATGTATAACCATTTGCAACTTGTTTAAAGAGCTGTTTCTCCACTATTTCCAGTTATCAATCCAACATGTTAATCTACCTCTGCTTAATAGCATACCCTATTTTCACCACTATTATACAACAACAGACAAAACTTCAATTAATCGCCCTTGTTACCCAACTACATGTAAATCGATATATTTATTTTGTCTTATTTACAGAAAGCTTATCAGCAATGAAATGACGCCTGGTATGTCCAACCCTTCATATGAACATGTAAGTTGTTTTTTTGATTGCTACTCAGTAGGTCTCTCTCTCTCTCTCTCTCTCTCTCTCTAACTTTCCTTCTCATTCCCCGTTCTCTCCCCATACCCCCTTTTATTTCAAGACACCTTCAAAAAAGAAGGGGAAAAAAGAAGAATACAAAAAAATAGAAATTAATCTGCTTTCTGAGATTTTTTAAATGTTTTGAACACGATCGCAATTATTTTCGAAAAATCAACTCCGTCCTTTATAAATCATGTTTAGATTAAGTAACTTGCCATTGTCATGTTCACACAGTTCAATAGGTTATAAGCACAAGGCTGTTGAATTTGCTTCAGATTAATTTTTCGAAAGTATATAGATAATGTTTTTGTCATTTTCTGATCCACAGAATACAGTGGGTACTTCCAGCTTGGAAACGCAAGAGGCGGAGGCTTAAATTATACTATAGTCGTTGGACTCATCACAAGCAGGTCTTAAACTTAAAAACAACAGATAAACAATTATTGTTTGCTTATTATGTCAGTTTACAGTGTTTAATTATACTAGTAATAACTGATTTTCTTTTCTTGTTCTTTACTTATTTCCTTGTACTTGACGTTTTCAATCTCTTCATTTGTGATAATTTCCGCAAATCGGTTTTTTTTACCCGCGATGGGTTTATCTTACAATGTTTTTGTATATTATCATCTGTATTCGCATGTAATAATAAACTTTTTAATGAATTGAACTTGTAATATTATTGTCTATTATTCTCGAGTTTAGACTTCATCGCGACTCACAAGGGAGCATCTTACAACGTTACTGAAACTACTAAGAGTAGATAACAAGTTTATTGAAATATTAAGAGTAGATAACAAATTGATTAAAATATATTCTTCTGACAATTAGACTACTCGTGATCCACATGACAGCATATTACATCATAACTAAAATAAGTCACTGCTGTATTAGTTTGAGCCAAATATCACGACATTTTGTCTTTAAATCAAGTATCTTTTTAGTCCGTTGTAAATTTGATCTTTTGTCATTTAAAAAGCATATTGTAAAATGCAATTTTTGTTGTTTCATCTTTTGGTAAGATAAATGAGCACTTTTCTCAATTTCTCCACCTTATTGCCATCAATCGTTGACATGTACATACATGTAACTGCATGTTTTATTGTTGTCTGTATATCAATTTGCATGTGTTGACTTCTTTCAGTTTGATTTTGATGTGATTAAAGACCGGACTGAAAGAAAAAAATAACGTCTAAATTTGTCTTCATCTTTTTATGTTGTCGATATAAAGCAACTGCAACAGATAATCTGCTAGCTATCATCATTGAATATAAAATCCACCCCTAACATTGAAAGTGTTACCATTGAATTTTCTTCAATAATATATCACAAAATCATACTCATTTTAATCACTACGCTGATAAACAAACACAAAATGGCACAAAAGTAAGAAACATGAGAGCAAAATTTATGGAAAAGCAAACATCTGTATTTCGCAGAGAAACCAAATTAAAGCACAAGAAGAAGTAACAAAATTAACATACAGAAGTGGGTATTGCAGACATATTTAGACTGAAAATCGTTTTTGTACATTCAATTTCGCCACTGGATAGAAAAATGAAAAGGGGCTAAAATATTACAACCTGATAATCATGACAGCACTTCTGGTGATTGTTACATAGGGAGGATTAAACACCAAAAAGTGTTTGTGTTTATAAATTATTTTGCAACTCTATACAAAAGAGCATTCACCCTTTGATGAATTAGTTTCATATTTCCGAATTCTCCTTCATAACAAAGAGCAAGGCATCTGTTCGGAGCCAGAAGGTCGTTTACTTGTATCATTTTACACAGAGTTAACACCCTTCTGGCTCTCAAATGGATGTATTTTTTAATCATGAGGGCGTTTAAATATGGACATGTTCCCCCTCCTGGGTACCGAAGGGCGAATGGCATTAATGCCCTGCAGAAAGCCAATACAAATGGAAGGTGATTATCCTGAGAAATAAACTGAAGTCTCAAGGTGTTATAGGAGTACTGAAAGAATTCACAAGGTTTGTTCTTATACAGCCGTGTTTGAAAGAAAGGCTCTTTTCAATCAAAACACCAAGCATCACTAAAAAGCTTGACATTTAATAATACAAATAATAGTAACATTGAAAGATTAAAGACCCTGTCCGGAAGTGAAAAATGTAATAGATGAATTATATATCAGTGGAAAGTTTATAAGCCATAGATTGCAATAATATCCTTTATAAGCTATTTTAGTGTCTGTCAGAGGAGTAACAGCACTGTGATACCTTGAAATCTAAAGCTTAGAAAATCAGAAGTTGTCTACCTAAAAACTAGGTTTTCGACTAATATTAACATAAGAAATATTCATATAAGATATATTTAGTTGGATATTGCATATTAATTAGGGTCCCAAATACAAAGCACATAGACATCATACATCAGTAATACATTACTGCAACCCAGCCTCTCATTTGTATACAATGCCCTTCAAATATAAACTAAATACGTTAGCAAAATCGTGCAAATACAAAGCATATACACATACCGGTATACAAAATGATAAATAGTCTATGACCAAGTAATGAATACATACATCTACAGAAAATAAAATTTAAATAAACGATTACAAAATTACAAATATGCGTAGAGTAATTAGAGTTGATACCATTTCCAGTTTCTTTACATCACAACAATCGTGACATATTAGCATGGTGGGATTTTCTATAGATATTAGACTGAGTGAACAATAACTTTGTCGGCTACACGCAAGAAGGCTGTAAGAGCCATGTATTGTCACTGGTAGTTGCGGCCTTCTTGCAAATCTATTATTTGATCTTTGAATCCCACATCAACTGGTCAGGACTGCATCATGATCAGGACAAAATGTAACAACTCTAGAAAGAAGAATACAGTCAGACCTGCTTTAGTGACCACCTGTCTACACAGACCACATGATTTGTTTCTCTTGAAAAGGGTTTCTCATCGAAACATGTTCTAAAGGAACATATCTACAAAGACCACCTGTCTACAAAGGCCACTTTTTGTGTTTCCCTTGGGTGGTCGCTACAGACAGGTTTGACTGTATATACATAATACAGCATGTATGAGGGGTCAAGAGAAGAATATTTTCACCTGGGGTAAACACCGATAACAATTGCTGCATTGAATTATATATTACCAAGCAAGAGTAAGAAAATATCTGGTTCCTCTGAAACAAAAATATATATACATCATCTTCTTTCATACTGAATAGCATAGAAAAAAAAAAGTATTTTAGTGGATTGCTTTGAATGGAAAGGGAATTGAATTCAAAATCTCTCCACACTACAACATCGAAAACGGTAAAGCACAAGATTCAGATCTCTTCATAAAAATAATGACTTATCATGATTTGGTACACACCTCAACCAGAAAACGTGCTATTTCTCAAAAGGATTCATGATAAATCAAACTCAAGCCAAACTGCAAATACCCTGTTCTCTTTTTTTTTTTTTTGGGGGGGGGGGGGGGAAGGGTGGGGGGGATTTTTCCCCATGTGTCTATAAAGTGAGAGATACAGCACACGAAATCAAGCCATCTATTGCCTCTTATAACATAACCCTGAAATCTATCACCTCTTCTTGAAAAATATGTTACCTTAAATGATATTAGGGCGCTTTAGCAAAGACAACGGAAGGCAAAGATGACGGTAATGCAAGCGAAAAAAATAATCTGCGCTTGAACGAACAAGAATCTTTTCACGACTGTACGCGGCCATGATAGCGTTCGTTCCCTTAACACGACGGAGGAGCTGTATTGCCGTAATTCTCCTGTCGTCTTTGCGAAAGCGCTTCATTGTTTGTATGGAGACAGAAGAGCGTTAACCCATATACTCTCACACAGAATTAATGTCCTGCTGGCTCTCAACAGATGAAACATGTACCTTATGTGCTATTATATATGTGTTTAGTAACTTTCAATGAACCTGGGTGCCTTAATTTACAATACACATTGTTACTCTTCATCATCATTATCATATATTAATCCTTAAATAAATTCATGTCTTCCAAGAATTTTCAAGCATAATCGCAAGACTTACTCTCCCAACATCATCTTTTCAAAATAAAATTAGAATTCCTACTTACTATATAGGAAGACCGTTTCTAAACATTAAGATAATACTTTGTCGAAAATGGAAGAAATGTTAAGCATCCATGGAATCGCATCATTATGCATTAGGAATTGAAGTATGTTCCCACGGTCCAGGTAAACCTGCCATCCCATTTCTTAACAAGTAGAGCTTGTCACCTTCACTCATCAATGCAAATAGCCCCTCTTTGAGGTGCAGACTGTGACATTTGGTAACATTCGACTCTTCGATTCAATTGATTCCATACAGCAGTTATACAACCTTATTATTGACTGTCTGCAAACCTATAAAGCCTTTATGTCATACCTGTCAGACGCGATTTGGTTCTTTAACAACTCTGCTAACAATTGAGATCATCAACAAACAATCTGTTTGTATACAGCAGTACCTCGTTGTAAGAAACTCCTAGAACCAAAGAAATATTCTTATACTGAAAGATTGTTATCTTTGAGGTAATAAAGCCAATGGAATACAAAGGAATGTGATCAGTGAAATTACCTTCATATAAAGAGAGTTTGTAAAAACTGTGTTCCGTCAGAATGAGGTCCGGCTGTACTTGATATTCACTCAAGGACAGTCAAAAACATATCTGTATGAAACTAGACAGTCTTGTAATACATATTTCAATATTAGTTCCCTGACTTTATAATGTTGTACAGGTGAAGACATCCAAGCTGTGGAATGCTTATTTCTGACCGTTGCAAGCACATTGGAAAGAATTCATAAAAGCATACTAGCTTTATTCCGGTGTCACAGGCGAGAATCTCCAACTGCATCACTTCTTCTGGTACGCAAGGAGGTTGTGCATTTTCATACATAGTCTCCTTTCCCAGACTCACTTCAGATATTCTTTTTGAAAATAATTTTTGATGAATTTCCACGGAAAAAAAGTAAACAAGAAACAGTGAAAATGAATTAACAATTTGATGTTAAACGACACCAGATGTACTTTATACTACTCAAAGATTGTGTCATTTGTATAAAGTTTTCATGTTTTTATCAGGAGAACCAAAATGGCTGGAGATTCTCGTCTGTGGCAGGGGGTTTCAATCCCATGTTAGTGAGTAGAGAGAGTCTACCGAATTTCAGAGTGCTATAAGTCAACCTCTTCATCCCATTATTAAAATCGCCATGGTTATTTAACTAAATGAATAAACAAAAGTCTTGTCAGCATGAATTCAATGTCCAATTCATGACTATTTTTTCTTCATTTTGTTACAGAATGTCCACAATGTCTACAGCAAAGAGAAGATGACACATGGCGCTTTGTAAATCAGTGGACCAAGTGAAAATTGGTAGGCATTATTTAACCAGTCGTAAAGGCACATTTCCAAAAACAGCCACAACCCTAACCCTTTACCCTAACTTTACCTGATGCACATGGCATCGCATGCAAATTAACTGCCGTAGCTACATAACATTATGGCTATATCTAGAGACATGCCTCAACGACCGATTGAATTATGCTTACCAGTTAAATCAGGCTCCATTTAATCCACCTTAGTGATTAAAGATAAAGTTGAGTTCTGGTCCAGCGATTGCATTGTGAAAGAAACAGTGTGGAATTGATCACATAAGTAGCACATGAGTAATGGTGTGTACTGCAAGGTTCTGGTATCATCAAATTTATATAAATTTGGCCTAGTCTTGGTAAAAGTAACAAGCATTATACACAGAAAGATGTGTATGGGACCACACAAACATATAGCATAAAAATAAGGGCCCACATTTTTAAGCTGTTTCATGTCATATTCAGAATATGAAGGCATTTGAAGAGCCATGCATTTCAGGGAACTTTTTCCTGTGATGTTGTTCCACACTTGCTCAATAACAATGGAAATGCTCTCAAATTATTTTCACCTCTTCCCAGAACTCAACCTTCTCTTTAAAGACTGTAATCTTTGACCATCCTCTTAATTGCTCTTGTAGCGTTCCGTCTCATGAGGGGCGTAGTAACCTAGCAACGCATTCAATGTCACAATGCTTTCCATGAGGAAGTAGAGATGGAGGTTGCCTCCCCAGGCATCATACTTGGCGGCAGCATACAGAACGGCCAGCACGGTCAGAAATAGTTTCTGTTAAAAAGAAGGAAAAAAAAAAGAAGATGATGAAAATCAACTGTGATTGTCCAGAAATATTATCTTTTCCTTAAAGGGGGTGTAGCATGGCAAATACTGGTTAACCCCATCGACGACTTCTTTTGGACGACTGCACTTTAACAAATGGACTTGATCAACGGTCAGTGCGCGCTAGCGATAGCGAAAACAGATCAAAGTTCTCCTCACGCTACAGCTTCGCGTATGTTGAACACACGTGAATACTGCGGTCGCGTCGTCTGTAGTCGTATTATACCCGATTGGCCCCCGAGTCAGGCTCGTCATGCTACACACACTTTAAGAGACTATTTTCATTCTCCTGTTTTTATTAAGTAGTAAGAAGGGAAAACGAACACTAAAATGACCAGGTATTGAACGCTAAGGACTTAAAAAATTGTCACGGAAATGGGAAATTATGGTCTAAACCAAGTCAGTATGCTACAATTTTGAACCATTCTTTAAAGGTAATACAAAGTTTTGGTATGGGGTTATGAATTGGTTCAAATGAACATATTGGAAGCATATGCGATCCTACAATATTCAGTGATCGTTGTCGCGGTTGAGAACGAGTCTAAAGTTTTGAAATTGTAAATAATAAACTCTGTATGTTGTATAGCTCCCTCTCAAGGTAAAGATATATAATTAAGCTATAAAACAGTGTATCTTGACTAAAATCAACCGATAAGCTATTCCCGTTTGGAAATTATATATCTCAACTACTATTCTGAGATTTTCATGGTCGCAGCTAACATTGTATGGCCGTAGGCGCTATTTGAAATTTATCAAAATTTACCGGGAGCACCGGTAAATTGTTATATTCAATTTTTCTCGAAAGCGAAGTGTTCTAAGGGCTAATTTTTCTAACGCTTATAATACATCCACAGGGGCATCCAAATATATGAAAATGGTAAAGAATCACTATCCACCCAATTTTCAAAATTTCCCAAAACTTTGTATTACCTTTAACCATTGATGTTCTATTCACAATCAAATGTAATACAATTGTATTTGAAAGATTACTCACCACAATACGTCCGACAAAGATGGCCCTCTTGTCCCAGTCAAAGAGGAATCCCGGAGCCATGAAGCTCAAGATAGACGAGCCAATCAGGAGAGCTCCGGTTGATCTTGCCATGTGAAGATGAGCTCCATCGTATGACTCTAGGGTAGTCTGCAAAGATTAATATATTGCGGTTCAAGGGTTTTGGGTACAAAATATCCATTTAATATTGTTTAAATATTGCCTTCAGAGGTTTTGATGGCAATACTACAACCTAAATTCACAAAAAAGCAGAAATATATGCCCAAATATTCAATGTTAAAGTGCATCCGCGATACTTATCCAGGCCGGATTGATATGATAATTTACCAAATATATCAATTAGTAGGTGGTTTCGCAGTAAATTTGTATCATCACGTAATAGTCAAAACATATTCTTTCCCATGATTGGTAATACGAGCTTCCATTTTATTTTTTGAAAGGGGGGGTCGTTTCCAAAACTGGTCTATACCTTTAATAAATAAAGTGCCTTGTAGAGGTTGCATGGTCTAGTGAATACCGGTACCTCACCAGACTTTGGATCCCACGGTTCGCTGTTCGAGTTGTGTCATGGCACTTATGTCCTTTGGCAAGACATTAATCTACATTTGCCACCCTCCACCCAGGTGAAGTAAATGGGTACCAAGTAGGAAGGAATTCCTTGAATGCTGTAGCGCCTTAAAACGGCGGCTCAGCTATAAAGGAGGGGTGATAATATGATACTTTGTATTTAGTGCAGTAGAGTATATTCATCAAATAGCTGCACTATATAAAATGAACATATTATTATTAGTTGCAACATTACTAACCAAAACACTGACAGTATTATTTCCCAGGTAACTGGAAGAGGTGTCCAGTGTAAAGTTTACTTTGATACTTATAAAAATGATTAAAAAAAACCATATATCAAGAATAACATTTGAAATTTTCAAACCTAGTCTCCAAGGAAGCAATAATCACATTTTGTATCCATTTGATTACCGGTATGCAAATCTTAACTTTGAAGGAAAGAAAAACTATCCTGCTAGTCCAATATGAAGAGTGATCCCACATTAACCACGGCAAACTTTCCTTCTTTCAAAGATGTAGAATGATAGCTTGGATTGTGTATTAGGTTTCAGGTTAGGTTAGAGTTTAGGGTTAGGAACAGTGTTTGGTCGAGATTTGTTGGCTAGTGTGAGATACAGTCAAACCTGCTTTAGTGACCACCTGTCTACAAAGACCACATTTTTTGTTTCCCTTGAAAATAGTTTCTCATTGAAAGTACTAAAGGAACCTGTCTACAAAGACCACTTTTTATGTTTCCCTTGAGCGGTCGCTATAGACAGGTTCGACTGTATTTACCAAATGGAGCAAAGATCCAAAATTTGCTTGGTTGAAAAGGAAAAGAAAGGACATAATTACCTGGATTTTCAAGAACAAATCAGGGAAGCCAAAAATCGTAAGGCCGATCACCAGCACCAGGAATCCGTCGAAGCGGAGGTGCATGTTGAGGCGGCTTTCCAGCTGGGCGTGGCCACCGGAGTAGCGGGACTGGTAGTAGTAGATTACACTTCCCATCATCCATAGCATGTTTCCAACCATGCCAAAGAAGATATGCTGCAGAAGGAATAGCAAATGGGCCATATATGATCATACTGATTAGGATGGATGTGCTTGAAATTGGTAACTATGCTTTAAAGCCCCACTGCACTACTTATAGCTACTTGCGCCCTATATAGCAAACAATGCCTAAGCGGTGACCGTTAGTCCCTCATGATCCCCTTTTTGTTATGTTAGCTGAGAGCTGATTTGATGAAGTAACCACCTGTCAGTGACCTTGCAGGGAGGTCTAATCCCCCTGGCCAAACTAGTGCACATGGGCTTTAATATACTTCATAGTAACAAGTATTTCCCAAACTCACATACCATTGATCTTCATTTGCCACACTCAACCCAGGCGAGGTACAATGTAAATGAGTAGGAAATAATTCCTTGGAGCTTCAGTGCCTTCAATAGGGCAACTGGCTGGAAACAGAGAGCAACAATGATGAGTATGTGGAAGTGTGCTACAAGAACTAAGCATGATTATTTGATTGATCTATTTCCTACAATATAAATAGTCATGTCAGAACTGCAGCATTTGCGAAAGGCAACACTTAATCTTTATCAATGAATTCTTTCATAAAATTAAAAGATACTTACGTTTTGATTCCAAGTATTTCCACCAAAGTATTGAATGTACACCATGGAAACGATGAGAATTGTACAGCCCTGTTGAGAGAAAAGATAAGCATAGGAGAGTTTTGTAAAGGCTTATTACTAAATGGCACAATCTAAATTGTTTTTTTGACTACAAAAATCACCATCTTTACAATTCTTCTTCTCCTCCTCCTCTTTCTTTTCTTTTCTCCTCCTCCTTCTCCTCCTTCCTCTCCCACTCCCCCTCCTCCTCTTCTTCTTCCTCTTCCTCCTCCTTCTCCTCCTCCCCTCCTCCTCCTCCTCCTCTTTCCCCTCCCCCTCCTCATTCCTCATTCCTCTCCCCCTTCCCCTCCTCCTCCTCCTCCTCCTTCTCCTCCTTCCTCTCCCACTCCCCCTCCTCCTCTTCTTCTTCTTCCTCCTCCTCCTCCTCCTCCTCCTCCTCCTCCTCTTCCTCCGCCTTTCCTGTTTTCCTTCTTCTTCTTTTCCACATCTTCTTCCTTCATTACAGTCACACATGAGCAGTTATTTCCTGCCAGATTACTGCTAGCAAGACAAGTTGTCATAAATCTAAAACTTGACTTTATTGTGGTCGCTGGCTTGCTGTTTTTTTTCACCGCTCTTAAAGCCAAGAAATAGGATGAAAACTTACAACTATACGTGAAAAGAGGAGATAGACGAGGGTTGAAGCATCCTTGGATGAGCGGCAGAAATAGCGTGTTACAGCATCACCGATCATACAGGCAGCAAAGGCTCGAGAGTAAGTAAGGTGTGTGCCGTCTGGTGTGACATTGATCTGAAAGGGTATGAGAATATTATTATAATTATTATGATGATGATGATGATGATGATAATGATTATACTAATATTGACAATAGTAACAATAACAATAATAATGATAATAATAATGATGATTATAATAATAATAATGAAAACAAAACAAAAATAATAATGATATCAAATAAGAAGTTGTATATGTATACAGCCTTTGATACATAAAAATTCTCTAAGCACTCTAGACAATTAAGCAAGTATAACTATAAGCGGAGGGCCAAAGTCAAATATCATGCTTAGTTTTTGAGTTGCCTGCCACTACCACACAAACTAAGCACACCTTCTTCATTCGAAAGATTTTTTATCATGATACACAATAATTCAGAGGTGTTTTTTTTTAAATTTGTAGCGAACACCCCTTAATTAGAGGGGGCGTCCAAAAAAGAGGCCCTTTTGACGAAAAATAGTATTTTGTGAATAATATTTTACCACCATAAATATGGTGTCATATAAAAGAAAATTAAATTACCTACATTTTTTATACCAACATGAGTTAAGCTAGGTGTTTAAATGAGTTATGTAATGTGTGGAATATAAATTTAAACCAAAAAGGTGATTTTTTAAAAGATCTTTTCCCTCTAATTTTGGCCAATATCTCGGTATATTAATTTGACAAAAGTGATTGGACATTTAGTAGTGGAGAAAGTACTAAGGATTTGGAGTTCCTCTGTGATGTTTCAGGAAATGTGGGCATTGGCAGTCACCCCTCCCCCCCCCCCCAGACTCCCGACAAAGGCTCTCCCCCTGCACCTCATCTGTAAAGAAAGAAGTGGTTCCCAAGACAAACTTTTGTTGTATAAAATTGGAGAGAGTTCGAGTTTTATCTAGCATGAAAAGGATTAATCGTTTACTGAATAGGGATTCTAGCTTTATATTGTTACATTTCTCCGCTCCAGTGATCTCAAGGCAGCAGACAGCAAGAAATTGTATAAATTGTAAAAGGTCCACAGGAGTGTTTTTTAGAAGTTCTAACTAGATCAGGTCAATTAAATCATACTTTTGACATTTTTACCTAAATAAACCATATCGTCGCTGTTTTCATGAAGTGACGGTAGTGAAAAAAAATTGCATTCACTTTGCGTTACGATTTTCCTCACTACCGTCACTTCGTGAAAACAAGGACGATATGTATACTTTTTTTGTGTAGAAATTTTAAGTTTCTTACCCTTGATTGCAAACTAGAGGCAAACCGCTCATTCATCGTAACTTATTTGCGATAGATAAGGAGACTGCAAACTTGCAATTGATTGGACTATCTCTTTGGAGGACTTGCGATTGATTTGTATCAATTGCAACTCTTATGTTGATGTTGATCTGACTTATCGCCAGCACTGTTCTTAAAATTGAATATCTTTTCATTCAATCTTTCTCATATAATGCCCATAATTTGCATTACAAATTCCTGATTTGATCTAGATCTAGTTAAAGCTTCTAAAAAACACTCCTGTGGACCTTGTATTGTTTACACAATTTCTTGCTGTCTTGAGATCACTGAAGCGAAGAATTGTAACAATGTAAAGCTAAAATCCCTATTCAGTAAAAGATTAATCCTTTTCATGCAGATGGTTCTTCTACCGTTTTTGACCAGAAGTGCGTTTCAAACTCTATTTTACACATTTTCTTGCTGTCTGCTGCCTTCTTCTTCTTTCTTCTTCTTCTATACGTGTCGACAGACTTGTTAGTCCATATAAAGACACGGAAACGAAGCACATGGTCATGGAATAGAGCAATCTTTTAGGAATTGTAGCGCATGGGACCTAAAGGAATCAATTGATCCTGTGTTGATAACGCTATCAGGTAACTTATTCCAGTCCTTGCACGTACGAGGGAAATAGGAGAACTTGAAGAAGTCTGTCCTGCAGTACGTCTGTTTCAAATGATGGCTATTGCTTATTGAGGAACGACGGGATCTAGTAACAGCAAGAGGTGTTAGGGTCTTCGGGATGGCAGATTGTCCACTCTGGATCTGTTTCATGAGGGCAAGTCTTGCAACTTCTCGCCGATGTTCCAGCGAGTCCCAATTCAGATCCCTCAACATGTCCGTGACACTAGCACGTTGGTTGTAGTTGTTGTTGACAAATCTTGCAGCACGACGTTGGACCATTTCCAGCTGCTTGATGTACTTGGTTTCATAGGGGTCGTAGACACTAGCTGCATATTCTAAATGAGGTCTTACTAGCGAAAGATAAGCAGTGCTCTTGATGGTTCTCGAACAACCTCTAAGATTACGCCTTAACATTCCGAGAACCCTGTTAGCCTTCTTGGTAATGTGAGCATACTGGAAATCCCACTTGTATTTGTGGGTTAGGAAGACTCCAAGGTATTGGTGATGTTGAACTGGATCCAGGATTTGGGCATGAAGAGTATATTGGAAACTCAACTTCTTCCTCTTGTTGGTCATATTCATGACGAAGCATTTCTTAGCATTAAATTTCATCTGCCACTCATCCCCCTATTTTTCAAGTTGATGAATGTCCCTCTGTAGGTTCTCACAATCGGATAGGTTTTTAACAACCTTGTATAAAATACAATCATCAGCAAATAGACGTATTTCAGACTGTAGATTTTCGGTGATGTCATTTATGTAGAGTAAGAATAGCAAGGGACCGAGGACTGTCCCCTGTGGTACGCCTGACTTCACGTCGTGCCAATCGGAGCTTGTACCTTAGCCCAATCATGGGAGGCAAGTATCAACTGGGAGGTGCAAGAATGATGCTTTCTGAAGCCATGTTGCTTGGGAGTAAGGATATTGTGACGTTCCAAATGCCGACTTATATGAGAATGGACTATATGCTCAAGAAGTTTACTGCATGTCGCTGTCAAGGATACCAGTCTATAATTCGATGGTAGGGCTTTATCACCTTTTTTGAACAGCGCTCGAACAGGTGATATTGGCTAAAAGCCAATCCTCAGGTAGATCTCCACTGTCTAAGGATTGTTAAAATACGTCGCGCAGTACTGGTGCTATTTCATTTGCAGTTTCCTTTAGCATCCTGGGACATATTCCATCAGGACCAGTAGCTTTGTTAATGTTTACTGTCTTAAGCAACTTCAGAACCCCTTCTACCGTAAGGTTGACATTTTCTACAGTTGGCAAGTTGGTAGGAGTGAAAGGTATCTGGTCCAGGTTTTCCTGTGTAAACACCGACTTAAAGTAGTCAGCTAGAGATAGCGCCTTGTCCTTGTCAGAGACGAAATGGACTCCTTGGTGTCTGAGTGTCGGTATACCCTGATTCTCCATACTCTTACTTCTGATGTATTTCCATAAACCCCAAGGATTTTCACGCAGATTTTCCACAATGTTCTGTACAAAATGACGATGTTCTTTCCTAAGTTCCCTTTTTACAGCTTTCCTAGCCTCCTTAAATTGTTCCCAATGGGCAGTATCGCCTGACCGTTTTGCCTTTTTATGGATACGATTCCTAACTCTAATGAGACGTTTGATCTTGGTGTTGATCCATGGTATTGTGTCACGCGTTGACGACATCTTTGATGGAACAAATGACTCCTTCAAGTCTTCAAGACTCTTTAACTTAGTCCAATTTTCATTGACGGGTCTTGATTCAGGTTCACTACTAAAATACTCCTGTGAAAATCTGGTGATCCCATCGCGCACTCTTCCGAAGTCAGCTTTGCCGTAGCAGTAGATCTTGCGACGAGGCTTAGGCAGCTGCTTTGGTCTGGTTTTGATAGAACATACAACCACATCATGGTCGCTCATTCCAGTATGAACCTCGATTCCTTGAATGCTACTCGGGATCGAAGAGAACAGCAGATCCAGAATATTGGCGGTTGACTCAGTTGTGCGCGTGGGTTCAAGCACATGCTGTGTTAAGAAATGTTTATTGGCAATATCTAGCAGATGCATTTCACTTGAATTTGCCGTTTGTATACCATCACCCCAATTGATGGATTTTGCATTAAAGTCTCCAGTCAGAACTACATGTGGTATGCTTGTAGTCTCCCGAGGAATTTTATCCAACGATTCCTCGAGGTCCTTCCAGTCTCCTACTCGGCTGTCAGGAACACGGTAATAACATCCCACAAGAAATGTTTTACCTGATGTCTTGAGAATACTGGAGTGAAAAAATGTAACAATGTATAGCTAGAATCCCTATTCAGTAAAGGACTATAATCCTTTTCATGCAGAAGGTTCTTCTACCATTTTTGACCAGAAGTGTGTTTCAAACTCATTAATGTGATAATAGAGAGGATAAATACATGTGAAACATTTCAAATGATTAACATTAGAGGCTAGGTATAATATCATTTGAAATATACAATTATCCCATTTTAGTACTACATTTTCAAATTCTATTTCCCAATATGGTCTCAAGAGAATGAAAATAATTTACCTGAAAATCTTAATTATCATAATAATACTTTTTTGATTAATCATTTCCATTACCAGTTACCACCCTCCTCCTCTTCATCTTCATTCTCCTCACCATCATCATTGTCTTCTTCTGCATCACCTTCATTGTATATTTATCATTATCATCACTATCATCAATATCATCATCATCTATTAATCACCATCACCACCATCATCATCACCTCCTCATTATCACTATCGTCATCACCTCCTCATTATCACTATCGTCATCACCACCACCAGTTATCCTCACCTCCTCATCATCTTTGTCTTCATCACCAGAGCAATCACCATGATCTTCATCACCTCCTCCTCATCATCATCATCTGTCATCTTCACCACTACTACCACCACCATCATCATCATTATCACCTCCTCCTCATCATCATCTTCACCACTACTACCACCACCATCATCATCATTATCACCTCCTCCTCATCATCATCTTCACCACTACTACCACCACCATCATCATCATTATCACCTCCTCCTCATCATCATCTTCACCACTACTACCACCACCATCATCATCATTATCACCTCCTCCTCATCATCTTCACCACTACTACCACCACCATCATCATCATTATCACCTCCTCCTCATCATCATCTTCACCACTACTACCACCACCATCATCATCATCTCTGTCATCTTCACAATTACTACCAGTGCCACCACCATCATCATCATTATCACCTCCTCCTCATCATCATCTTCACAACTACTACCACCACCATCATCATCATTATCACCTCCTCCTCATCATCATCTTCACCACTACTACCAGTGCCACCATCATCATCATCTCTGTCATCTTCACAACTACTACCAGTGCCACCATCATCATCACCTCCTCCTCGATCATCATCCGTCTTCATCACCACTACTACCACTACCACCATCATCATCATCTCCTCATCACTACTACTAGTATCACCACCACCACCATCATCATCATCACCCCTACTACCACTACCAGTGCCACCATCATCATCATCAACTCCTCCTCCTCATCACCTCTGCCATCATCATCACCACTACTTACCACCACCATCATCATCATCACAGAAACTTACCTGGAATCCCAAGATGACATCAGGGACAAAGTACCAGGCCAGACCAAACGCAGTGGTAGCCAGGAAGTCCACGAAGAGCCAGGTGTCACGCCCTCTAGAACAACCAATCAGGAAAGCCAGAACCAGGAGGCTAACGCCCACCAGGACAGGGGTGTCGATAGATGCAATATCCACAGCCATCTTTATTTGATTTTGAGTGCTGGGGAAGTGGGGAACAACAATGAGGAATACACGTTTCAAAAGAGGCAGATCTCAGTCATTTATCCAACCATATTCCAAGATCTTCTTTAGCTAAACACTCAAAGATCCTTTTGAGTTTTGTGACCTGACAATGGTAAATGTGCTAACAGTTATAATAAGTATAAAGAGTCTAAAAAGTATGTTTATGAAGGCTAATGCATTTAAACAATGTAGATCTAGACTAGACTCTATAATAGAAATCTACATTTCAAAATGCATGATGTGTTAGGCACAGTCAATCTAGAACTTCAAGAGGAGTCTTAGAAGAATCTAATCATTATTTAGATCTAGTTTATAAATGTAGAATCTGTTACACTACAGTGCAGTGTTACTGTGACAGTGACAGCATGAGTTGAGAGTCAAGTGAGACTGTGCGAGTACTTATTTTGCAGTACACTTGCAATAAAAATGGTGACTTCAAATTTAAGTTTTAACAACCCGACTTTTGAAATCTAACAAAGTTAGATTTTTTGACATAAAAATTAAACTTCAAACTAAGCTTAATGACCGCAAAAGACATAAATAAGAAAGCCTAACTGACTAAGCATAGAGTCATCAGCACACAGTGACAGTCAAACTCAAAGGCTTTGGATGTAATAATTGCCGCACTGCACTGCAGCTGCACTGCTCCGAGCGCGAGCGAGAGCTCACAGTCACAGCATCGCCGCGCCCCTGGGCCTGGCCTTGCGCTTGGCCTCCATGGCATGGCGGAGAGGCATCCGTACAATAAGCTTACAAATTACACTTACAGATTAGCACTCTTGTTGCTAGTTTAATCTGATAAGTTCCCGGATTTATCTAATCATTTTATCTGCATAAAACTAGGTAAACATGACCAAACTCACCAGAATTCTTACGAGAAATACAATGCTATGCCTATGGTTACAGAAAGCTCGACAAAGACAGGTTTTATCGATTCTCTGGCTGGTGTTACGAAACTTTGAATGCGTCCCCACGCTCCGAATATGGTCTAATTTAAGTCGCAGTAGTATTTTTATTATAATTTTCAAATGAAATATTGAAAGGATATATTTAAAAATCATGATTCATTCAACTTAAATCAGAAAAATCAAGATAATGCATAAATTATATCAAATAAATCATACTTTTGACATATTTACCCAAATAAACCAAATGTATACTTTTTTGGTGTAGAAAATTTAGGTATCTTATCCTTGATTGCAAACTAGAGGCAAAGCTTATTAAAGGTATTACAAAGTTTTGGAAAATGTTGATATATTTGGATGCCCCTGTGGATGTATTAAAAACACTAGAATCTTTAGCCCCTAAAACACTTCTGCTTTCGAGAAAAATTGAATATAAGGATTAACCGGTGCTCCCGGTAAATTTTGATGAATTTCAGATAGCTCCTACGGCCATACAATGGTAGCTGCGACCATGAAAATCTCAGAATATGTAGTTGTGGTATATAATTTTCGAACGGTAATAGATAATCGGTCGATTTTAGTCAAGAAACATTGTTTTATAGCTTAATTAATATCTTTACCTTGAGAGGGAGCTATACAACATAGAGTGTAAGTTTACAATTTCATAACTTTAGAGTCGATTTCGACCGCGACAACGATCAGTGAATATAATCGTAGGATCGCATATACTTCCAATATGTGAATTTGAACCAAAGTCACGACCCCATACCAAAACTTTGTATTGCCTTTAAAGGTATTTAAAGGGGGGGGGGGGGGTGTTAAAAGAAGACACTTTTTTTTGTTTTGGTCTCGAAATTTGAAAATTTGACATTTGGCTCCGTTGGGGGTGTAAGGTTACCTTTTTAGGCCAGCCATGGGAATATTTTTTTTATTTTTTTAAATAATTAAAACAACAAAACAACAAAACAAACAAACAAAGGGGAAGGGGTTTAGGGGGGGGGGGGGTAATGGGGGGGGGGGGGGGGGTTACACACATAAAAATACCAAAGGGGGGTTTAAACCCCCCCCCCCCCCCCCCCCCCACTGTGTACGCGCCTGGGTATAAGTATTGTAAAGCGCTTAGAGACATATAAAATTTAAATATTTAAATATTATTATTATTATTATTGATTGGAGGATCTGATGTTGATCTGACTTAAATCGCCAGCACTGTTTTTTTTTTTTTGCCAGGGGAGGGCCCAAGCCCCCCCCCCCCCCCCCCAGATCTGCCACTGTACTGAACTACTGACCTCCGATATAGCTGGACCAAGGTAGCTACATGGGTCACTGGGAACGTGCCCTAATGGGATGGAATATAAATAGATAAATAAATCAATCAATCAATCAATCAAATCAAATCAAAGGCAGGGTGAAACAAAAATAGTGAAAGAGAGAACAATTAAGGACGGTTGATTTTCAACCTGCACTGTACCACCAAAACCAATGGAACAAAGTACATGTGTATCATATTAGAAAAAAATGTTGGTACTGATTAGCCTATGTCTAAATAATTCATATGAAGGCCGTTACTATATTCAGGACATGCACATTATTATGTAGGCACATATATTACAATATTTATCAGGCTGATTTTATACTGTGGGACCCCAAAATAATGAAGGTCTCCCGTGCCGGGAATCGAACCCGGGCCGCGTGGGTGAAAACCACGAATCCTAACCACTAGACCACACGGGATTGCCATGTCGAGAGGGGCTCAACATCCAACTTTATTTAATAAAGAAGGGTGTTGAATATATCCTATACTGATGGAGCTATGACGCGGATCCATACTAGAGCAACCGTTGTGCCTTGTTTCATATTGCATCATTTATCAAAATGTAGGATTTTTGTGATAGGTGTGCAATTATATACTCTTCTCTCCCGGAATATATCATTAGCGTATGGAAGTGTAATAGACTGAGCTGAAATATGCACATACAAATTAGTTAATTCATATCAAGCCGGAGGAGCACTAATTTTTGTTCTTCCAAATTCGTGAGACAATATTTAGCGCCGAATCAACACCCCCCCCCCCATTGGGCCTGGGGAGGGGCCCGCCTCTGGTCCCTCCCATACCCCTCTAAAAGAAAATTATTCATATTGTTCATACTGTCGCATTTTACTACACAAATATCATGATTGTGCTTTTAATAAAATTTATTTCTAAAAAAAACAAAAAACATACAAAACAACAGGAACACTAATCCGTCTTAAACAAACTTCTTTTTTTGTAAACAGCATGCATATTTTATGCGGATCTAGGCCTGATCATCTGTAAATATATAGGTCTATCTATGATTTGTATATTTAATTTAAAATAACATTAAGTAATTATTTCATATTTTAGCATTTTACTAAACCAAAAATATCATGATGTAATAATAATTATGATAGAGGGATATATAATTCAGATAGCACTTATACGGGCCTACAATCCAATCCAATCCAAAAGATATTTGAAAAAGCGCCTTTTCCTTGCAGTTAGAAAGCGCTGCACACACGCTCCACGATGTTTGGGTCACTATACAATATAGACACCATCTTGCCAATGACAGTGGTATAAATAGCTCGTCTGTAAGCCAGACTAACCATTGCAGATAATGTACCTTTCATTTACTTTTACAACACGATTTAACCTTTGATCATGCTGGCTTTCAGAAAACATCCGCAGTGGGGAGACGGTATAGCATTCATATACACACACAGATAGGCTATATAGTGCATTACAGCTGTTTTATGCACGGTTGACTGACTTACATCAAGGATTACGAAACACCAAAGAGCAGTCGGCAAAAATAAAAATGTAAGTATATAGCATGTATAGGTAGATCTATAGTCGACATAATTATTGTATACGATTCTTGTGATGTCTTTTTACGTGAGGCGGAGTTAACCGCAAACTCGACCAAATACAAATTCGGCCGCCAAAATCTCGTTCAGTTAAACAACTTTGATCCTGATCTTTCGCCCCCCCTCTTTCTCTCTCTCTCTCTCTCTCTCTCTGTTTTATTGAAATCAGTATGCCTCTACCCCTCTGATTCATATCTCTTTAACGTTCTTTAATCCTCTATGTTTACGTTTGTTACAAATCAATGCACTGAATACTTCTATTTTATTTCATTTCCACTTGCTGTAAAATCTCTTTCATCAGTCAGCTGCCGTCTCTAAGTTCACCAAGTTGTTGCCATGGAGATGTCTGGAGAGAAGATGAGAACTCTTGAGATGAAACCCTTGGTATCTGATCTTGATTACTACGCGGAGGCTTACCGAGTTTACGCGGGATTCTCTGGCCAAAAACTCAAGACTTATCAGAAATGGACAGACGATGTCTTCATTCCGACAGCTGTGGACAAGCTCCATGGATCCTTTCAAGGAGCTGAGGAGTTCAGGATCCTCGGGATTGGGAGCGGAGGAGGTATTTATTTATTTATTTATTCATGATTTCTTTCAACAGTTCCACTGGAAGCCGGTGGATCTGCTTTTCAAGAAAGCCCTTCATAATACAATGACAGTATAAAAACATAAGTATAATAATACAACAATTAAAAATTGTACATACATGTCAAATATCAAATAAAAAAATAATTATATCTTTTAAAAATAAGACTTTTTGAATCATACAATATTTATGATCAATTGAAAAAAACTAAAAGAAAATGAATTATTACATTAGCAAAAGCACACCTAAAACAAAACACCCAAACAAACAGAAGAAGAAAAAAAAAACCACAATAAATAAAATAGAAATACTAAAGTATTTTGTCTCTAGATAATAGGGGTTCGTAAGAAGAAGATGGGGCATTTGATAATAAACTAGAGATCTTCCAGACGGTGCAAGGTTTGGAAGGGACACATGCAGGTTTTTCAAAATTGTCTGACAAGCAGGTCTGATAAAATGCATTCCGTTTTTAACGGGCGGTCCCCACCCGACACCTTCTCTAAGATTCGCCTGCAATTATTGCTTCGAATCATTCCGAAAAAAATCCTCTAATTGACAAACAGATGTACTCTGTTAAAATGAACGGATGATTTTTTTTCCCACTCTAAATGTTACTGGATGTTTACACCCCCTTTTCATGCTATTTTTGTTATCCTTATTTTGATACATCTGGATTTCTGCACGTTTAATTCCTTCGCATGAAAATTGTATGCCTCCTATATAGTTCGCTTCTCCTAAACCGTTGTTGTCTTTCAGGTGAGATTGATGTCTGTCTCCTAGAGCGGCTATCATCCAGGTATCCGTCCATCACTAACACTGTCATCGAACCTTCAACAGAAGCAATCACCAGGTATACAGCTCTCCTCCAAGAGAAAGAGGCCAACCTTCAAGGGGTCAAAACTCATTTTAAGCAGACGACCATCCAGGAATTTTGCGCGGAAACAAAAAAGGCGTCAACCGGCGATTCGCGCCCAAAATTTCACTTCATCCACGCGATCCAGAGCTTGTATTATTCGGATGATTTGAATGGTACCATTTGGGATATGTTTGAGATGCTTGAAGAAGGAGGAGCAATGCTCATCATTTTGATGACGGGTGAGTTATGGTCATGTGACCTATTGGGAGGGAGCCATTGGTAAAGTTTCTTTTGCGCCAAGCTTTCTTTCTCCATCCAGTGGATTTGTCGGTAAAGACAATAGTTAAAACGAAAGTCCAATCGGCAATGGCCGTTGCACATTTACTGGGGGCTCTATTATGAATCTTTCACCGTTTGAAATGGATATAACTTTCTTAAATTCTGTTATATCTATATTATTTGGGCCATGATGAACATAATATATGATAACTATATATTACGTCTCGAGATGAGTCATTTGTTTTTGTTTTTGTTTCTCTTTTTTTGCACTTTTGGCAGATGATCACGTTTTATACCGAATGTTGGATAACTTTCCTTTCCTCGTGGGACAGAAAACGCCATCCACCACGAAGTTATCCAGCAAAGACATCACGAAAGCTCTCGAACAACTCGGACTCGCCTACACCTCGCATACAGTCAATACCCGGACCGAGGCGAGCTCTTGTTTCAATCCGGAGTCCGAGGATGGGAATAAAGTCCTGGATTTCTTAACCAACACTGTTCGATTCAGGGCCAATGCACCACCCGAGATATGTGACAAGGTTCTAGGGTTCCTGCGCGCCATCTGCCCATCGTCTGTTCCTGATGAGACAACGGACGAGGCAAGAGAAGGGGTTGTCGGAGGGGAGGATAAGACGCAGAAGAAGTTGCTTTTTATCAGGGACGCGCAATCAGTCATTGTGTTTCGCCAGGGTACACATGGAGCTTTACAGAAAAGTGCTATGAAAATGTGACTGACTGTACAGCACAAAAGGGGTTTGTCAAATGATAGTTCTATATACCAGGCAACAATCGAGTACAATAATATTGAATGACGAGAGAACGAAACGTCTGCAAGTGTTGTCGATCAGAAGGGCTATACCTGAACATTTTTACACGTGACATTTCTTTATTTGACTGCATGGGGGAGCTAGGCCTGGGTACTCACTGTACCACACTGAAGTGAAAACATAAACAGCATATTCTATTGGTCTTATTCTCACAAAAATTATATTTAAAAGATTTGAAAGAAAATTAATAGTATCAGTATTGTGTAATTCGTCGCTGTTTCCACGAAGTGACGGTAGTGACAAAAAATTGCATTCACTTTGCTTTACGATTTTCCTCACTACCGTCACTTCGTGAAAATAGGGGCGAATTCTATCAAATTGTCACGACAATGCGTAAATGTGAAATATAGGCCTACCGAGAAAGGAAGAGTGATTAGAGAAATGTTAAGTTTATGTTCAGTATTCATAATGAACTGAAAAGTAAAGACGATTGCATTACGTCTTATCTACTCATTTTCTTCCTTGTGTATGGGCTTAGTGAACGTGTTTCCACCGATTAAATAATGTGTTTCTGTCATGTACATGTACCTTGTTAGAAATACAACACGTATGTGGGTCGGCAGCTCACTGGAGAACTGTATTGAGACGTAGTTCAGATATATAAGACACGCGCATGCGTGGACTTTATTAAGTCATTCAATCCCGTAGGATACATACATGTATATCATAACATCCCCTTTTTTTTCAAATTAAAATGTTAACTATTGAATGTACACTTATAGCCTTTTGCTAGATAAAAAACTTTCCTTTCTAATATGAAAATCTTAGAAAAACTCTTAAATGATTTTCTTTAAATAAAACTCAAATATTTGTTATTGTTGTAAAACTTATTAATTTCATACGATTTTGGAATGTGAGGTCAGGTTGATCATTTGCTGATCTTGTATAATATTGTTATCCAATTATTTGTACTGTCTGATACAACTTTGAGTAAATACGTGCACTTATTCAACTCAAAATTACACTCAAGTATAATCAGTTACTACTGTTTTCCTAAGCAATAATAATAAATTTCCACATTGTTTGTATAAAACACTTGTTACGTGTCTCTGACAAATGTTACGGTAATTTGAACTTATTGATTTATTTCAATGTCTAAATATGTAACAGACAATTAACAAATTGTCGCCTCGTTACTCGTATTCTGCTTAATTACGAATCAATGTCATTTCACTTTCATCTGCTATGATTACTATGAACTTGTATTTTACCATAATAAATGATGAGTACAGCTCTGGAACATGAATCAATGTAATGTCTTACTTTGTACTTTCTAACTCTAATAACTAACTCTATGATATTTACAAGTTTGTTCCCATCTCATCCTGTATGGAAAAAAAGCATATACACGACTTAGTGTAGGTCCTTTGCTTTGCAGTTGAACATATCTATAAAATGTAGTAAACTTCTTACTAGTGAATTGAGATCCACATGGCAATAATAGATCAACATTTTACTCAAAGATCAAGAAAATATCACTTCCTGTATAACGTTCAAATAAACGTGATAATCGAATATGTCAGTTATAGGAGCATGAATATTTATCCACGGGCATGCAAATTAACGAGTAACATAGTCCTTCAGATAGTTTGGACGTTTGACCGTACGCCCTGAACGAGTTTTCGGCGCTAGTTCAATGTCATTTGATTGGCTTGCCTGAGGGGCAGGCCGCGCTTCAGTTTCATCAGGTGTTGCATTGTGGTCATTTGCGTGTTGAATTTCCGCGGTTTCGTTGCTGCTCGTGGTTGTTTCATCAGGAGGATTTTCAGGTGTTTGACGCAAGTGTACGCGATTGCGACGGTAGATGCCGGAGGGCGTTTCGACAACGTAGGAACGCTCATCCAAGCGTCGCTTCACGATTGCTCTTTCCCAGTTCTTTTGCCCCTGGACAAGAGGTTGCATTCGCACGGTATCACCTTCCTGCAGTGGGGTCAAATCTTTTGCAGATTTGTTGTAGTTGTACGCTTGCTTTGCGATACGTAATTGCATCTTCTCACGTTCACGTATTACCCTTGGCTCGAGTAGACTCGCTGAAGTAGGCAAGAGCGTGCGTGTACGGCGATTCATAAGTCGTTGGGCCGGACTTGTATCCAGACCTTGCGAAGGTGTATTGCGGTGATCCAACAATGCAAGGTAAGTATCGGACCGCGACTTATCACTCTTCATGATGATGCGTTTTGCTGTTTTGACTGCGGATTCTGCCTTTCCATTGGCTCTGCTGTTACCGGGACTACTGCAGAGATGCTCGAAATCCCATTCACTTGCGAACTGCCGAAACACGGCTGATGTATACTGGGGCCCGTTGTCGCTAACGACTTGCGTAGGGCTTCCATATCTCGCGAAGTGTGCTTTGAGCTTTCGAATCACCAATTGGCTACTTGTGTTATCCAATCGGTCAACTTCAAAGAAGTTGCTGTAGTAATCGACGGTTACCATGTAATCTTTTCCCTTCAATGAGAAAAGATCTGTGCCTATTTTTTCCCATGGCCTTTGAGGCAGATCATGAGCCATCAGAGGCTCCTTTTGTTGCTTGACTTCGTATGATCGGCATACATCACATGTCGCGATAAACTGCTTGATTTCACTAGCCATACCAGGCCAAAAGATTGATTCGCGAGCACGTCGAAGACACCCTTCCATGCCCAGATGGGATGAGTGGATCTTTTCCTTCATCTCCTTGCGAAGGCTTATTGGAATTATCACACGCTCTCCTTTGAAGATTAGACCATCATGAACTGCTAGTTCATCTCTGTAACCGAAATATGGTGTTAGCTCCTCAGGCAGAGTGTGCCGGTCATTCGGCCACCCGCTGACGATGACGCTCTTGAGCTTCTGAAGTACTTGATCTGCAGCGGTCTGCTCACGAATTTGCTGAAGGCGCTCATCTCGGATAGGTAAATGTGCTACCATATTCACTTCTTCAAAGAAATTCACTTCGCTTGGATCACCACCAACTGCCCGCGACAAGGTATCTGCGAGATACATGAGCTTTCCTTGTTGATAGCTGATATCAAAATGATATTTTTGAAGACGGAGGAGCATCCCCTGAAGGCGTTTCGGAGCCTTCACCAGCGGCTTCTTTATGATCATTTCAAGCGGCTTGTGGTCGCTCACAACGCTAGTAAATCGACCAAACGTGTATTGATGAAAACGCTCCATTGAAAACACTACAGCTAGCATTTCCTTCTCAATTGAGGCGTACCGCGATTCTGTGTCGGTCAAGGATCTACTGGCATACGCTATGGGGCGTCCATTCTGCAGAAGTGCTGCTCCCAAACCCTTGTTGCTTGCGTCGCATTGGATGGTTAGCTCTTCCTTAGGGTTGTAGTAGGCCAAGAGTGGTGCTTCTGAAACCATTCTTTTGATGTTTGACATTGCGTTGGCTTGCTCTGTAGACCATTCCCATGCTATGTCTGGGCGTGTCAGCTGTCTGATGGGTTCTAGCGTATCGGACAGACTGGGCAAGAATCTGCTTAGGTAGTTCACAAATCCCACTAACCTCTGCACGCCTTGTACGTCAGAGGGATTTGGCATTTTGAGGACATCAGCAACCTTCTTTGGATCAGGCTGTAGTCCTGCACTTGTGACGACATGTCCTAGGAAAGGAATCTCAGTTGCTCTGAACACGGACTTCTCCTTGTTGAGCTTGATGTGTTGTTCAACACATCGCTGGAACAATTGCTCAAGCTTCGAGTCGTGGTCGATGATTGCTTCTTCCATCGTTGTCCCTTTCCCATACACAAGGATATCGTCTGCTACGCAAATCACCCCTGGCAGTCCTTCAAGTGCTTGATGCAATCTTTGCTGGAAGATTTCTGATGAGGCACTTGTACCGAATGGTAAACGGCGCCATCGGTAGCGGCCAAAGGGCGTGTTGAATGTCGTCAGGTGGCTTGAGGGCTCATCAAGTTTCACTTGCCAGAATGCAGAACTCATATCAAGCTTGCTGAAGATCTTTGCTTGGTTGAGATCTGGCAAGATATCCTCAACTATAGGTAGAGGGTAGTGCTCGCGTTTGAGTGCCTTGTTCAGTGGCCGTGGATCAATGCATATCCTAAGGTCACCATTCTTTTTCTCAGCCACCACTAGTTGGCTGACCCAACTCGTCGGTTTTGTCACCTTCGCGATCACTTCACGGTCAACCATGCGATCCAACTCTGCTTTCACTTTTTGTTTGATTGCATGGGGTAGTCTTCTTGGAGGTAAGATGGTGGGCTGCACCTCTTTATCCACTTGCAGGTTGACCTCTCCAGGCATCTCTCCCAGCTCTCCATCAAAGACTTCTGCATAGCGTTCTTCAGGCTTGCATGCCTTGTCTTTCTGGCTGGAAGCTGCATGAACTCTTATGAAGTTCTCATTATTGACCGTGATGAGCTTCAAATGCTGGCTGACTGTGCTTCCCAACAACGGTGTGAAGTCCTTGTCCACCACTATGAATTCCACCGAATATTTCTGCTTCGTCTTGGGGTTTAGCATCTTGACCCTGCTGACGCCTTCGATGGCCATTGTGATTTCGTTCCACATCATGAGCTTTTTCTTGCTAGGTTTCAGGACGTAGTCAGCCCCTTCCAGGTGTCTCAATGGCAGGATGTTGGCACTAGCCCCGCTATCCACCTGGAAGTCTACTGCTTTCTCATTGATCATCATTCTGGCATACACCTCATCTCTCGGTTTAACGGTGTTGATGGTGATTGTGACATTGTCTATATACTCGGTGCTCGAGTCACTGTCGGCTGGATCATTTACTTGGTGCATTCGTTTGCTCAGCATGCACACATTGGCGAAGTGGTTTTGCTTTCCACATGCCTTGCAGGTTTGTCCGTAGGCTGGACATTTGTTTTTGTCCCTCGGGTGCTCCCTGCCACAGTACTTGCATTGAGATTTTGCTGCTTTGCCAGTGCTGCGCTTGCTGTTATCTCTTTTTGGTCCACCGCTCTGCTTTCCTTTCTTAAAGCTTGGCCGGATCTTATGGATATGAGCCGCTGATCTGCTGCTACCGGCCTCACTGAAAGCTTTGAGGTGCGATTCAGCTGTCTCTGCGCTCTTACAGATGTCGATGCAGCCACCGAGTGTCAGTTTCCTTTCTTGTAGTAGTTGCTTCCTCGTCTGCGCATCATTGGTGCCCAGCACTATCTTGTCCCGGAGGAGGCTGTCTGTCATGCATTTACAGAAATTACATGATTTGGCGAGAGATCTGAGATTGG